CTCTTTGCTATAGCCCCTTTTACTGGAGCCAAAAATAGTCCAACTGACGAAAAGTAAGCCTCAATCTTTTGCTCATATTTTGCTGCTGTTGTGGCTTTCAAATGCTTCCGTTGGTTTCCATCTAAGCGGAAACGGTAGTAATCGTCTTGGCTGACCACCGTCAGTTGGTACCAGAAACGCCAATTTCGAGTTCTAGCGTCTAGCTTGAAGCACCACCACTCGAGAAGGAAGTAGACAATGACAAAGAAGTAAACCATGAGGATGATTGTGTAGTCAAAGGTAGTGCGGAAGGTGTGCAGAAAACCGACGAGAACATCGTGTCGGCGAAAGTCGTACCAGGGGGCCCAGTCTGGAGTTTTGTAATCGGTGTACATGATATAGGTGGCAAAAAGGACTCGAAAAGTGCCAAAGAAAGCTAATATGTCAAAGTACTGCCTAGGGCCGAGTTTAGTAGACCGACTTTTCTCATCGAGCAAGTCTTTGGACATCTCGTAGAAACAACGTTTGAACTTGGCAAACAATGTCATTTTTAGAGTTTCTGTTTTGTTTATTTTTTAAAACAAAGTTGATGAACTTGTACAAAATATGTTTTTTGTCCAAATGAGCGGTAAAAACAAAAAAGTTATTTAGAAACCTTTTAGACAATGTTACTTTATTTGCAAATCGATTTTTCAGCTAATTATTGCAAAAGTGTCATTTCCGATAACTTTGCTATTTCTTTTTTATTTAAAAATCATTATTCTGCTAAAATGTAACAATACAACTTTAGTTTCCGTAATTACTTGCAAATTTTTTGGTGTTTTTATTTATTAGTAAACTTTTATTACTAATTTTTTTATTTGTTTGTTATTATAGCTGCAAGGTCAAACATACAAAATGANCTTTTTTATTTAAAAATCATTATTCTGCTAAAATGTAACAATACAACTTTAGTTTCCGTAATTACTTGTAGATGTTTTGGTGTTTTTATTTATTAGTAAATTTTTATTACTAATTTTTTTATTTGTTTGTTATTATAGCTGCAAGGTCAAACATACAAAATGGTAGTTAAAAGTTTGTTCACTTTGTGCGCATTTAGCAATTTAAAATTTACTAATTGACCATTTAATTAGTTTTCAATGCAACTTTTTACTGCAAGTATAATAATTTTGGGTAATAAAACTGATGGTTTCAAATTAATTGACAATTAACTCAATTTAAATTCAAAGTTAAACAAAAGTTTTAGCTTTAAAAAATATCAATGTCAACTTATTTTAAGAAGGCTAAAGTCTAATATTTAATCAGTTATAACTTGTTAATTAACAAACTTTGAATCAGTTGTATTCAAGGTGTCCTTAGAATACTTGCTTTTGCAGTACTTTTGTTTTAAATACACAAACCTGGCTAACTTTATTCATAAAAAAGTAGAAAATGCTTTTAATCTGAATGATGCAGGCTGTTCATCTCCTTTTCTGCGGCCACCTGCTTGGCCAGTCTCTCTTCTAGCTGCAGCATTAGATCGTGAAAGTTGAGCGTGTGAAGGTTCTTGGCGAGCAGACGAAGCAGCAGCCAGTCGCCGAGATTGGCCGCCGGTGCAGTGTTCAGCACGGCGACGATTCGCTTCATCTTCAGCGTTCGACAGTTCAAGTAGAGGACCAGGCGACGAACCGAGGGGCTGAGGGTGGTCAGCAGGCGGTAGAGAAGGACCAGACTGCTGAGGAGGGCGAGCAGGTGGAACCAGAACCAGAGAAAGAGGTAGACCTTCTCGCTGAGAATGTTCACCGGAAGGAGGCACATGGTGTCGAAGCGTTCAATGCTGGCCGACGGGCCGAACTGGTAGAACTCGCACTTGGTGACGCGCGGAAAGAGGCGCACCATTGGACTGTACTGCAGTGGCCAGGGGGACGCCTGGCGGAAAGTGAGCACCTCCCAGCCGTAGTTGAAGAACTCCCCACCCAACAGCCGGTCCATGAGCATCATCTGCGTGAGAACGTTCATCAGATTGAGCAGCTCGCAGATGACGTAGCACAGGTACAGCTTCTGGTGGAGGGCGCCTCGAGAGCGGCTGAGGAACTCCGCGAGAAGGGCGATGTTCTCCTCCTTCGCCGCCGACGGCTTCAGAATGGGCTTATCCAGGCCGAGAATTAGGTTCTTGAGGAGGCCACCCTCGCAGACCTTCCAGAGGTAGTGAGGCAGGTAGAAGGCGATGGCCTGAGTGAAGAGGGCAAAGCACACCCACTGGTAGTAGCCGTGGTAGACGCGCTTCGACTCTGAGAGCTCCGGCTGAATGGAGTTGTCGACGCCGGGATAGGGCACATCGACGCCCACCTCCTTCTGCCAGGCGGCCTCGACGCTGTAGGTGGAGTGCAGCCAGCAGTAGGTGTCCAGCAGGGTGGCCGGCACGTCCCGCTTGGTGACGCAGTCGATGGGGTCGCCCAAGAACTGGTGGGCAGTCACCATGAGACTGAAGGCCACCAGGAGGGTGGTCGTCACGCGGTAGTGCAGTCGGAAGATGTGATTGTCAATGTGACAGCTCTGGGGCTTCACCAACGTCTTCAGCGAGCCAAACAGCTGGAACATGGCGGGGCTGGGTGAAAAGGAGAGTGATCGTTGGCGTGATCGCGCTCAGGCGCTCAGCTCCGAGAGGTCACAAGTTCACACAACATAAAAGCGACGACGAAAACTGTACTTTTAGTGCCATTTTTTCACGTCTAGTTTTCTTGATCACGGCGTCACCAGATCTGTTGTGGTGAAGAAGCTGTCGATGTTTCTGCGCTATTGGTGAAGTGATAAGGAAAGAGAAAGTGAATTCGCAAAATACACTGCAGCATCAAAGTCGAGAAGTGGCGATAAGATGAAAAACTCGGTTTCCACTTGATAAGAAATAGTGGAAAAAGAGAAACGTAGCCACTCAGGAGATTTTCGTGACGGTTGTTGCGGTTTGTTTACGTAATGACAGTTGCTTCAGAGAAGAAGAAACCTTTGGTCAGATAAAATGAGCCGCTCAGAGTGTAACACGGACAACGGGCAATGTCTATGCCGTCTTTAACAATCTACTGAAAATGATGTTGTTGAAATGAAGTTTTATTTTTTTATACATCTGACTAAACAAATGAGTAAGCAGTATAAGAATGTAAATCACCACCACCACCGCCATCATCTCTTCTCCATAAAGGAGAGCTTCTCACTAAGTAGATTGAGCTTGTCTTTGAGGAGATCGAGCGACTCGGCGTCGGCGTCCGTCTCAAACTTCTCCTTCAGGCGGACGATGAGCTCCTTGAAGTTGGACGCCTCCATGTTCTTCGCCAGCAGGTCGAGCATGAACCAGTCGCCGATGCTGCCCTTGCTGAGCACCTGCTTAATTGCCCGCGAGTTGCTCAGGCGACAGTGCGAGTTGAGGGCCATCACCCGCAGCGTCGGAATGAAGATGGTCAGCGCGCGGTAGAGGAGGGTGAGGGCGGAGAGCACCGCCAGCAGGTACAGCCAGAACCAGAGGAAGATGAAGATCTTCTCGTTGAGGACGTTGATCGGCAGCAGACAGAGGGCGTCCTTCCGCTCGATGGAGCCACTGGCGCCGAAGTTGTAGAAGTCGCACTTGGTCATGCGAGGGAAGATCTTGATCATCGGATCGAAGCGGACCGCCTCGTCCCACTCGGTGAACTTGAGCACCTCAATGCCGTAGCTGGAGAACTGGTTGCCCAGAAATCGGTCCAGCATTAGCATCTGCAGGACGACGTTCAGCAGGTTGAGCGTCTCCGTGGCGGCGTAGGTGAAGAAGCGGCCATTGTGGAGGTGCATGTTTGCAGTGAAGTACTCGGTGAGGAGGCGGATGCTGGCCTCCCTCGACTCGCCGTTCAGCAGGGGGCTGTTCAGGCCGAGCACCAGGTTGCGCGTCAGTCCGCCCTCGGCCATCTTCCAGATGAAGCGGGGCGCCCAGAAGGCGAGCGCCTGGAAGAAGAGCACAAAACAGACCCACTGGTAGTAGGTGTGGTAGACGCGGCCCTCGCGCA